CCTTTTTTTTTTTTTTTTGCGCCTTCTCGGACAGTCAGTATGGCCCATGTCTGTCTTCGATGGCGCTAGGTTCTCTTATGGCTTCTGACTACAACCCCGACAATCTCATTGGGTACCTGTGGCCAATTTTGATGCTAATAGTGGCTGTCTAGATTGTCCATAACCCGGGAGGAGTTCCAGACTCTCGTTACATGTCTTCAGCTGACTCGACTGTCGTATTCGAAGAGGCTTATGACACCTTCAACGAACGTAATGGCACGAAGCAGTTCGACGTTCTGCCGAAGAGTGACCGTGATCGCGGTCAGCTCTGCATCGTGATCCACTCCGTTCCGGACGGGGTTGAAGGTTCGGAACTTCGTGCTCTTGTCAAGAAGCTTCGCAAGACCGCCGATGAGATTTTCATTACCCACCTGAGCACAGACTACTATGCCAGCTTTGGGGGCAAGTGGGGCGAATTTGTCGATTGGATGGCTAAATAATTCCTACGGGCGGCGCTTTTCGAGTATAGCTGATGCAACATTGCTTATGATCAGGGCTCGATTGGCGTTGACGACAATATATGCGCCGGCGCTCTCTTTTGTCTCATGGAAAGGATTGACTAATCAACTTACGACCTGTCTAGACTGTATGCACGTTTATATCCTGTATGATGATTCAAGATGTTATTTGACTTTGGCCGTTGTGACTATGAAATGATACCTCGACTTGCGATAGAGTTTACGATCGTCAAGATTTCCTTTTTGTTTTGTCTTTCGGTTTCCCGTGCTCGAAACTTCCCCCCCCCGATGGTAATGTATTGTCATGGTACTTTTGGAACCAACGAGCGCGGTAATTTTCATCCGCAGTTGATACGTATTCTGAGCCCTAAGGCCAAGAGACTCGGTCAAGGTCCGCCTCCGAGAAACAGCGGAGTCCCCCGTCCGTTCATGTTGGTCATAATTCGAGCCTGGTTCAAACTCACTGCACCTGCATTGTCGTCCATGCAGTTAATTATACATTACATTATCATTACCAATGTTGTTGCTCTCTTATGAACACCACCCTTAGTTGTGTACCATGAGGTCGGTTCTGTGAAACCCCAGGTAGCTCGAAATAGAAGCCGTACAGTAAGGGCTACCCCGTGCTTGATGTGGCCGGCTGCAATAAGTGTGACACAGTCGGTTTCATGAGCGGGCGAGTGAATTTGGGCCCATGAACTATCTATGGAGAGGTCGCAAATACCCTATGAGCGAGAGAGGATCTGACTCCTAGTCGGGTGGAGAGAGAGAGAAGGTCGAGGAAGTCCACCGGCTTTCCAGTTTCGTCGACCAAGTGAAGCTACTGGAGAGGCGATGTGCACGGCCATCTCACCTATGGAGAACAAGTTAGCACATCCAACTATGCGATGAGCCAAGGCCCAAGATGGGCTGTAGTCGGAGACCCGGATGGAGTAGTCCGTCTTGGGAGCTGCCTTTAGCCTGTCCAGTGCATGCGTCCCATGGGTTGCGCCTAAAACCTATACAATCGGTATTGAACGGATGGGCTGTTCCTTAGGTCATGCTATTCCGTGTCGCTACATCGGTTGAGGAACCTGCCTAATCATGCATGACCTGGTCTGCTGTTTAGTAAGACATGCATCTTAGTCTCGTTGGGTGTGCTTTTTTTTTTTTT